GTTTATTTTAGTTTGAATGCTGAAGGAAATAGAGATTTGGGAAAATTTCTCTGATGCTAGGATATGGAGAAAACTCGATTTTATATTTACTTTTGTCATTGTAGCCCTGAGATTGAATTAACTATAATCTGAATAAATTTAGGGAAAAAAAAACCTGTGAAATCTGCTGGTGACGGAAATGGTTAGTTTATATCCAAGTTGCTGGAGTTCTACATACCAAAACCCACTGCCGTCGAGTCGGATCCGACTCATAGCAACCCCTCCTTGGGCTTCTACTATGGAAGTAGATTGTCCAATCTTCCTTCCGAGGAGTTTTAAAAATAATTGTAGAGACTTAGGTTTCATGAAAACAAATGCTTTTAAAAGTGTTTGTGGGGGAATCAGAATACCAGATGATGTGCACTGTGATACACATATGTAAAAGATGCAGACATGGAAAACAACTGGAAAGGGATGTTCAAGTAGTAGCTACAGTAGTGGGATCATGGTTGACTTTACCTCAAGTTTCTAGTGGGTTTTTTTGTGAATATAAAAGAAAATATGCTAGGGGAAGGCATTAGAAGTCTTTTTTTTTCTTAACATTATTGATGTTTATAATAATTCTGAGAAGTAGGAAATACATAGATTTTTTTTTTCCCCAAAAGAGTCTACCTTTCACTATTTCTTTTATATTCAACAGATTTCCAGCAAGCTCTCTATGAGTTATCATATCATGTCATTAAGGGAAATTTAAAGCATGAACAGGCATCTAATGTTCTTAATGACATTAGTGTAAGTATATATAAATAATTATTACATATCTCTTAATTGCCTTAAAGTACATCACTTGCATTTCATTGTATTTGAAATTATAGTAGTGAATGTTTTAAGGTAATGTTGGTAAGCCATTTTGGCTAGGCAGATAAAGATATTTTTGTCTGTTTTGTGAGTAAAGCAGAAAATATTAGGTAAGCTGGGAGGGTGGACAAAGTCTATATTGTAATGAAATTAAGGTAGCCTTAAATGCTACCTTGACGAGTAAGTTGGCTAGAATATTTTTCTCCCAATATAACATATTAAGGTTATTTTCTTCTGTTTGTGCTTATATTTGAAAATTAAATATATTTAAAAATTTGAGGATTATTTTATTTAAAATTGAGGTTTCACAGCTCTAATATTCACCTGCTGCCAGTTTTTATCTGTTTGCTGTTTGTTCTAGAAATAAGTAGATTTTTAAAAAGCCATAAGTGATTACTCAGTTTTCTTTATTTTAAATTTTTTTAAAACTTATTAGAGAATTTAACTTAGATTCAGACCAGATACTTTTCATGGTTACTTGGTGTTTCAATTAGAAGATGGGCTCCCAAATTTGAGTGTTTATTGTGAAACAATGGTTAAATTTGAGTTTTTACTGTGCCTTTAAAAAAAAAAAAAGTTCAAACCTGTTAGTAGGCTGGTTTTTGAACTGGTAATTGAAAGAATTATCTGCCTACTTGAGAACAACTTTCATAATAAGTACAATTGAGGTGGGATCTGGGGCTTGAAGTGAAAATCTGATTGACAGTTAAGATTCTTTCATTCTATAAATTGGGTCCCAAAACTCTAAAACCAAACTCACTGCTGTGGAGTCGAATCTGACTCATAGCGACCCCTCCTTGGGTTTCTAAGGTGATATTTCTACAGAAGTAGATGGCTCAGTCTTCCTTCTGAGGAGCATCTAGTGGGTTTGAACTGCCAGCCTTCTGGTTGGCAGTCAAATGCCTTAGGTACTATGCCACCAGACCTCCCAGTATAGGTTTTAGTGTGTTTATAAAATCTAATTATTTTCCCATTTTCTGAAAGTGGCTCATAGTCCAGACCTTGATGTGTGTCTGTTCAGTTCTTAGTTAGCTTCCCTTTTCCTTTGAGTCCTTGGTGCTGTTATAGCTAATTGCCTTTGTCATGGCTTTCTCATAGTACTATATACTGTCCCTTATCTTAACCACAGAAGCACATCTTGGGTGTCTCCTTGCAGCTGCTTTTTTTTTTTCCTTAAGAGTTAACCTTCTTTTAATCCCTGAAAATAGGCTAATTTTATGGTTGCTGTAGTACCAGAAAGGAGCTCAGGTGGTGCAGTGGTTAAAGCGTTTGGCTGCTAACCAAAAGGTCAGTGGTTTGAACTTACCAGCTGCTCTGCAAAAGAAAGATGTGGCAATCTGCTTCCATAAAGATTTATAGCCTTGGAAATCCTAGTGGACAGTTCTGTTCTGTCCTACAGGGTCACTGTGAGTTGGAATCACCTCGATGGCAGTGGGTTTTTGGTTTGGTTACAGTGCCAGAAAACTACGAGTTGTAGTGATTGAAGTGTGTATGATCTTTACTAGAGGAAAATGGCTTTACATTGGGAATTGGGTTGGGAAGTCAGGAGAAAAATCTAGAATAAATGCTGGAGTTTTCATAAATCAGGGGAGAATATTGGGTCAACTTCTTCACAGAATATAAGCATTAATGAATAAGGAAAATAAGAGTTATCTTTTAAGGAAAATAAGTGTTATCTTTTATGAGACAACAATTTATGATTTACTTGGTATTTCTTTTCTTCATATACCACTATGCTTTTTTTTTTTGTTTGGTTGTTTTTATTTCTGTTGCATAGATCAGTGTTGATTCAGACATGAGTACAAATTTCAAAGTTCGATGAAAAATGTGCCATTTTTTAACAGTCTTGCTTTAGGATAGATGTGAGGTACTCTGAATTCACTGGGGGAAAATGTTATTTGTGCCCTTTTAATATTTCCTGAGATGATCTTTAGGTTTCCATTTTTAATCAGGATTTTTCATGGTAGATAATTTAAATATTTTTTTCAACATTTATCTCCTTTTTTTTCCTTTGTGTTATGAAGCTTTTCTCAAAGAATTTTAACGTTTGTCAGCATAATAGTGTTGGATTTTTGTTTAAGTTTTACTTTTGAAACCATAATAATACTTAATACTTGCTTGCTGGTGTGCTATTCTATTTACTATGAATGATTATATTTTTAAAATTAGGAATTTCGTGAGGATATGCCCTCCATTCTTGCTGATGTATTCTGCATATTAGGTAGGTATTAGCCTTATTTCATCTGTAAAAGTGCTATTTGATAAATTAATGTACTATGTTAAACAAAATGCTTTTTTCTAAACTAAGTATTTTACAAATGTACAAATGGTTCTGCAGATTTGGAAGTATATATTTATAATGTATATATTTGTACATTATAGTGTATATAGTATTGTAAATCTAATGTCAGTACAAACACTTTATTAACTAGCTATAGAGTATAATTCAAGTGGTTTGATTATATAAAGTTGAGCTAAATTAAATCATTTCAAGTAAAGAAGCTAGGTTTTTTGATGATAGGTTAGTCTGATTTACCAAGACTGTAAAAACAAAATCTTGTTCCATGCAGGTTATCAATGAGTGATGTCAGAATCTTAAATGTAGGACACTCGAGATTATCACTTTACTCTTGTACTGTTTTGATTCTTTTTTAATTTTAGAAAGAGCAATAAGAACCAACATAATCAAAAATACTTTTGTTTTGAGGATGAGACACCATCATTGAAGATAGCAACCTCTCCATTTGTCCAGAATAAATAACAATTTATGCAAGATAAAAAAGGAGTATTTCTTTTTAAAAAAAACAAACCCGCAACTTTGACTTAGAACGAAAAGGTGGTGCTCATGGGAAGCATGGAATTTTTAAAAATTGTATATTACAAACTTATTCCTTTAATTTTAGATCTGGGTTAAAATGAGCAGTTTTTCCCATCAGTCTTATACTTTCTATAACTTTGAGTCTAATAGAAAACATTGTGAGACATTATAATGTTCACTTTAAAATAAGATTTATCCTCTGAGGATTTGTCAAGATGAAATGAATTATTTTAGCTCATTAATCCTAATTCTTAGAATTGCATAGATTACTTAAATGTCTTACAGAGAGTCTGGAATTTGATCTCAACAAATACAAATACCTGGTGCTTGATCCTTTAGGACATTTAAGATTTCATAACAGCAGTAATGTTAGGAACAGGTGAAATTGTTTTTGGGCTGTGAGTAATAAAGGAAAAAGATAGGGTTGATATGTCCCAGTTTGTCTTGCTTCCCCTGGCAGAATTATTGAAAGTGCTCTTTTTACTATCAAAATTGTATATGATCATGCTACCTGTTGGATTGATTGATTTATGCCAGCAGCAAAAAAAACTTTTAAGCTTAATTTTTTAAAAAAACATTTTATGGTTTGGGTGAAAGTTTGTAGATTAAATTACTTTCCCATTCAAGAATTTGTACATGTTTTGTTCTGTGACATCAGTTGCAATCCCTCAGTGTAATAAATAGCACTCTTCCCGCTTCCTCCCTGGGATCCCCGTTTCCATTTGTCTGTCTTTCCTACCTTCTGAATTTCGTTTTTAGTCAAATGCTGCTCTTTGGTGTTATGTGGTTGATTGTTCTGAGGAGCACATTCCTCATGGGTGTTGTTATTCACTTTATAGGCCTGTCTATTATTTGGCTGAAAGGTGATCTTTGGGAGTGGCTACAGTATCAGGTTTGAAGGGCATGTAAGAGATACAGTGTTGGAGATTCCACCAGTCTCAGTCAGACCACTAAGCCTGGTCTTTTTTATGAATTTGAATTTTGTTTTACATTTTTCTCCTATTCTATTCTGATCCTGATCAGAACAGTTGGTAATGGTAGCCAGGCAACCAGTTCTTATCTCAGGGAGGCTGTGGTTTGTGTGGTCCATTAGTCCTTTGGACTAATTGTTTCCTTTAGTTTTTTGTTTACTTCACTCTTCTTTGCTCTGTAGAGAATATAATATTATAAATCTAATGTCAGTACAAGCACTTTACTAACTAGCTAGAGTATAATTTAAGTGGTTTGATTTATATAAAGTTGAACTAAATTAAATCATTTCAAGTAAAGAAGCGAGGTTTTTTGATGATGGGTTAGTCATGAGAAGAGACCATTAGTTATATCTTAGCTATAACTTGAGAGGTTTTAAGATCCCATTCTCTACTCATCTAAGTAGGATGTAAAACATTGTCTTTATGGATACGTTATGCCATAACGTAGATATCCTTTGAGACTATGGTCCTAAGTCCCTAGGCTCAGTGACTCATTATCTCAAGGTATTTGGTTATGACTAAAAAGTTTACATAACTTTGACCCCTGAATGCTGTAATATCAAGCTGGATATATCTGCAGCACATATAAATACTACGTAGAAATATCATCTGCCAAACATATATGGTCAGTATTGCATACTTATATATGTATATAAGTGTGTGTATATATATATATATATTCATAGATATTAAGTATATAGGCACACATATACTTAATAATATGATCAGATTATAGTGAATTATTATTACAAGTTGTTGGTTTTTACTAGTAGTAACATGAACTCATGAAGGTGATGTTTGATTGCTCTTGGGAAATTTCTTTTAGCCTGTCCAGTCCATATTTACAAGCCAGATTACAATGGTAAACTTGGAAAGAGAATTTCTCTCATCTGCCCCCTCACTCACTTAACCCTTGCCTTGGCCGGAGAAAAAAAAAAAAAAAAAAGATCCAAGGGTGACCCTAGACTGAGGTAGGAGAATAGGAGTGAGAATGCAAGCTATCAATAATAATGATGATAGTAATGTACGTGGTGTTTTTGGAATACCTTTTATGTTCTAGGCATTGTGTCAAGCATTTAATTTCTTTTCTTGAAAAGAAAGTGTTCATTTTATTGTTGAGTATATACACAGGAAAATGTACACCAATTCAACAGTTCTACATATATCATTTAGCAGCATTGTTTACATTCTTTGAGTTGTGCAACTGTTCTCATCTTCCTTTTCTGATTTGTTTCACCCCTATTAACATAAATTCACTGCCCCCAAGGTTCTATCTAATGTTTCAAGTTGCTGTTAATCAATTTCATCCTATATAGATAGTTCTTAAAAGACCATAATGCTCAAGGCAGACATTTTATACTAGTTAAATTTACTACTGTTTGCTTTTAAGAAGACTTCAGGGGATATTTTTGGTTTAAGGTTTAAAGATTATCTTGGGACAATAGTTTCAGGGGTTCATCTACCCTCATGGCTTCAGAAAGTCTGAAGTCCAAGAGAATTTTAAATTCTGGTCTGTATTTCCCCCCCTTTGATCAGGACTCCTCTACAGAATCTTTGATCAAAATGTTCAGAAATGATAGCTGAGCACCATCCAGTTCTTCTGGTCTCATAGCAAAGGAGACAGATGTTCAATGGAGGCAATTAGCCACACATTCCATATCCTCCTCCTATATTTAACTCTCCTTCCTCTATTGATCCAGGTGAATAGAGACTAACTGTTGTTCCTTGGATGGCTACTTGCAAGCTTTGAAGACCCCAGGCACACAGTGAACTAGTGGGCAGAACAGAAGCACCAAACATGTTATTAAGCCACTTAACCTGGATGTCCCATGTAACCATGACCCTAAACCTCCAGAACAAGAAACTAAATTCTATGAGGTTTTTGTTTGTACCTAAGCAGCATTTAATTTCATTTTAATTCTCACAGAAATTTCTGTAAGGTAGATTGGAAAAATGAAGCTCAGAGAAGTAGTGATTTTTCAGTAGCATGTTGCTTATAAGCCAGAATTTGAACCTTGGTCTCCTTGGACCCGGATCCCGGACAGAAGAGCAGTCAGCCCCAGGGGCAACTCAGGGACGCACAAAACAGCAGGGCAGAAGAGCAGGAGAAAGGGGTTAAAAGCCAGGAAGCCAGACAGAGGTACAGTCAGCCACAGGGACCCAGTTGGGGGTGTATGAGAGGTCTCCAAC